CATTTAATTCTGAAAACTGTGAGCCAAACTCTTTGAATTTTCTCCGTCAATAGTGTTTATAATATCTTTCCCCGTCGTAGATTTGGTTGATGTTTGCGAGCGTTTTGCATCCTGCACTCCATTACACTGTTTCCTAATCATTTTCGAGGCAATGTAAAGTCTGCACGTTTCTGGTCATCGATTTAAAACTAATTAGAAGTAAGTTGTATTCTTATGGGGAGAGCACATTGCACAGTGGGCAAAGTATGCTATATCAACCTGATATATGTATGTATTTCATTGTCCGCCAATTTGTGTTATAGCTATAACATAAACTTATAGGTCAGAACCCTGCCGAAAAGATATTCCACGAAGTGTAACACTCGCAATCTTGTTGCAGTCGTCCCACTGTGGCACTCAACTAGTTTCCGCTTTAATTGCAGCAGACACACAAATAGTAAGTTGCAATAAGAGTAAAAATAACAAGGATAGCAATTGGGGCAGGGAGAGGGAGAAGAGATATGTACAAAAAATTACGGAACAGCGAGTCGGGTCCTGGCGAGGAGTTGGCTATCAAAAGCTTGCCAGCGACGCTCTGGCATAAAATAAAAGCAAAATGTTGTAAAACGATTGCAAAGTGAGATTGGAAATTACCGACACATAAACACAGTGCACACAGTGTGGTGCCAGGGCTGTGGCATATGAACGTGCAAAAATAACAGGAGCCAAGCGTATAAACTAAGTGGAAGGGTCAAAAGTTGCTGTTCGGCTTGGGGCCTCCACTGGGTGGCAGCTATTTCGCATTACAATGCAATTATTTAGGGCTGCTTCAACTTTACAGGCCAACAGGCAGGCCGGCAGGCAGACGAACTGCAGCAACAACAAAATGACGCGCTCTGATTGCCAGCTGAAGTTGCAGCAGCACCTCCAGCAGCTCCTCAAGCAGCACCACCAGAAATAGAAAAGTCCACCCCAAAAGCCAGTGGCAAAGGGTTAACGATCGACCAAATTAAAACGAAATGAAAATGTTTTTCACGACGCCCGTCACGTGACTGGCCTCTTCTTGGCTGCCTGCTGCCCATTCTCCATAGAAGCCAATCGCGTTCGCACACTAACAACAGCCACTGTAGGCTACACGATTCCACTTTGAACTTGACTGACGTGCTGAAGAGCCAGCTGACTTAAACATGCCAGAGCTTATTTACTCGGTAGTTGCTTGGCTGGTGGCTTGGTGGCTTCGTGGATAGGTAGGTGTATTGGTGGGTTAGTCGGTTGGTGGGTTCGTCGGTTGGCTCGTTGGTTGGTGTCGCGTGCTTGAAATAATTTTCGAAAAATGCTTCGTTAATGTTTCTATTAACGGATTAGAGAGGCGACTGTTGGCCGCGTCAATCAGACGTCCCGTTCTAACCTTGTTTCACCTGACTAGCCGTGCCCTGGCACAGTTTCACAGCTCCCAGTTGACTTTGCACGTTCGCCGGCGCCTAGGTTTGGGATTATTTTTCATTTTTTAGTTTAGCCGCACGTTTGCCGGCAGTCGGATTTTTTTTTTTTTTGCTCTTTTGTTAGCACATTGACACGTTTTGCATAAATTTGCATTTAAATGTGTCATGGAAAATAAGTTCGACATGCCATACTTCAAATATCTTCGACCAACTGCCGAATAGTTATTATTATTGTTTAAATTAATGTTATTATTATTATTACTTGTTACTTATTATAACTTTTATCAATATCGTTACTCTTATTATTTATGTTTTTGTTTTTAATTCTCTCACACGTATTTCCCGAGTTCAGGCTATATAATTATGCTTGTTTTGCAAACAAAACCAGGGCAACGCTTAAAATCCTTGCTCATTAGCACAGCAAGAGCTTTACGTAGCTGAATAAAAAAAATGTGTAATGGCATTTTCCCTGAATAATCTTGCACAGGTGGTTCTTGCACCAAAAAAAAATATATGGGTAGGAACATTTTGTAGAACGAACCACATTTGCATTCTTTTTGGCTGTATTAAATTATTCAGAGAGTGCACACAAAAGCCGAACGCGGCAAAAAAAAGAAAAGATGAACAAAAAATGGAGTACCCTCATAGTTGGAGTAGCGCTCCGTTCCCCCCGCGCATCCAGTGACAATTAAGCTGCAACTAAAATTGCTCGTGGCGCCTCCACACATTCACCCAAGCGCTTGTAAATATGCAACAAGGTTTTTATTTAAATACCACTCCATTTTTAAATCAAATCCTTACACAGGCTGTGTGTGTGTTTTTTTTTTATTTTTGCTTCAGCTTTGCATTGCGCCGAGTCGCCTGCTTTTAATTTTCATCTTGTTTACTTTAACGTCATTTTTAACTCTTCGGTGTTTTCTTGAGCGCCTTTCGCGCGCTTTGTTTATGCATACCCCCATCCCTCTGAACGGTTACCTCTAAGATCCATTGTCATAGTCGTCCTGGGGCTGCTCTTCGTCCTCGTCATTGTCGCGTGTGTCGCCTGCCTCGGTTTGCTCCTTGTGCTGCTCATGAAGTGGCACTCATCCGCACTTTTAAGCCCTACTGAATTCCTTTTATCCCTAACACAAATATATTCATCCACAGAAGCAGCAGCAGCAGCAGCAGCAGCGTCGTTGTCTTCGTCTTGACTGTTTTCGCTGCAGCGCCATTGTTGTTGCTCCTGGGCGCAAGGTTTATATAGCCAAGGCGACAACTTTGGGACTCAACCCTATTGTGCACTGCTGCCTCCTGCTCCTGCTACCGTTCGAGTAGGTGCTACTGCATCTACTCCATCATCGGCTTTGTACTTCAGAGCTCTAAAAGATTTTTAATAGAGTTCTTAGAGACATTTTCGATTGTCTTTGTGTGCAGCTTGTGTGAAAATTATACTTGAAGTGAATCACACTGCCTTCGAGCCAGGCTTTAAGGTCCGCTGAGAGCAGGCAAGTAGATTTAATAAATTTGCGACATCGTGTGCTTCCATTGCTTAGTATACTCTTCAATTTCCAAAATAAAATCCTACTCTTCCTCACTACTGTTTTTTTTGGGTAGCAATCGGGCACAAAATTATATATTCGACCAACATACAACCACAGCATTCGCCTTGCGACTAACAAGAGCCAAGGGCAAGGACAAATTCTTGAGTTAAACTCCTTCGATTGCCATTAATTTTGGCTTTCAGTTTGTTGGCACTTTATGGACGACATCTGACAATGAAAACCGAAAAGTATTCGCTCGACATCGACTCCTTTCTGGGCAGTTAAAAGTCCAACATGTCGCCGGAAGAAACAATGTGAGTGCTGAGCAAAAGTACAAAACAAATGTACCGCAAAACTGAATGAAGTCAACAAAGGACCGCCAACTGACTAATGGACTGAGGAACTGCCACCCTCACGGACGGACTTTCGCAGGACATGGGGACCCGCCGCCACGAGGCTCTCCCTAGCCATCTGCCGAGGGTGATGGCCAGAGTGGCGCATAAATTGACGATTCCCATGGGTACTGCTGCAGCAGAGCTCGTCGTATCTATCAGGGATGGCGCTGCATTGTCAAATGTTCACTTTCATTGTTCTTGTATCTATGTGCTTGTGTCTGTGTGTGTGTTCGTGTTAAGCACATAAGTTGAAATATTCCAATTGAGTAACTTTCATTATTGCAGCAACAACAATGTGCACATTTTGTATAAATAAAACAATGACAACGATTTCAACTCATTTAAATTCTATGTTGTAATAAATTTGCCTGCATAATTTCTATAGATGCCAATAGAAATAATCCAACCATTGACAACGTACATTAAATTGGGGAAGGCTCTTTGGTTTGTTTAGCAGTTATACAGCACAACATTTCAATATATTTTTAGCATTTAACATTTTAAATTCAAAATTTATACAAATTTAAATTGAGATCAAATGCATATTGAATACCAAATGGTTAAAGAGCGAATGTTCTTGGAAAACATGGTAAACAATTCGTCTTTCTCATTCGATGTCCATATCGACCAAATACAATTCTCAATACAAATACAAATACTCAAAAGCCTATATATTGTTTGTTTTTATTTTTTTTTGTTATTCCCAGAAAGCTATAGCTTTGACTTGCTGTGTATTTCTATTTAATAATAAGAGTGCGCTAGGCCGCACTGTCCGACTAGAAAATACACTCAACCACCATCAAAACATCTTTATGTTAGAACACGTACGTACTCTGCTGTTGCATGGGACTTGAATTAATGTGTAAAGTAACTATTTGAGCTGCAGTATGATTAAGAAGAGTTTTTGGGACAAGTTTTGTTAATAATTATCAACTTCAATAAGCCTGTAATGCTCCTATCTATCAGCAACATCCTTATATTAAGGGTAAATTTCGCTTGATAGCATCCTCTATATTCATTTCCTTACAAAAAAGCATTACTCCTTTGTAACGCTCAGGCTTGCTGCTTGCAAGCTCTAATAACTTTGGAGTTATACTTAAAATGCCAACCTTTAAACATGGATTTATTTCGATCTTTTCGAAAGACGACGACATATCGACACAAAATGGTAAAATTGTTTTTCGTTTGGCTAAGAAGAATTTTTGTAGATGCCATGATCAACTCGTTCATACAGACGGACAGACAGATGGAAGAACATCGCTAGATCGGAGTCGGGGATGCTTTCTTCTGCAAGTTACACAAAATGAACCCGAAAACATAACATCTTTCTTACCCTATTTCAAAGGATTCAGAATATTATAAGCAGAAGCTCTGCACAGAAGTCGAATGAGAAGGGGAAATTGATGCCCATGTCCTGCCAACCCCTGCGACTCACCATGCCCTCACCAATAGCGGCTCACCCCTGGATATGCAAAAATGCTAATTGAAGTCAAAACGCAATGTTGCGGAAAAATGTTTACAGCAAGCGCCAGGAAAAAGAAAACTTTAAGGTTTTTGATAACGTTGTTGTTGTTGCTTTTGCGCTCTGAATTTTACACTGGTCCACTGGCAGGATTTCTCTATCTAAATTCTTTTCTCCTTCACTCATCATTGTCATCCCTGAGCTCTCCTTTGCTTGCCTTTATTTATAGCGTAGACTTTAAAGCAAAAAGTCACACAAAATTATACTCGATTTAATTTTCCAGTCCAGTTGCCAGCTGCCCTAACGCTCCTGTCCTGCCGCTGCGCCGGCTAGTTGAGGCTCTCTCTCGGGTTCGGTTTTCGGTGTCAAGTTTGACTGCGCCGGCCATGGGCTCCGGCTTGGGCTTGGGTTCAGACACTGGCTTGGGCTCAGTCTCTGGTTCTGGTTTCACAGTTGACGTTATGCATTGAAATTAATTAAATCACAGCAAACTGCGCCGCAGTCGCCTCGCTGTTTGTTTGTTGCCTTTCCCATTGTTTGCCTATTGTTTTTGTTGCTGTTGCCATCTTCCTGTTGTTGTCAACCAAACACCAAAGCACCAGCGCCAGCCGCGTTTGTAGCCTTTTAATTAGTTGGCAGGACCACGAACACAGAACCAGAAGGCGGACTGAAGTTGCAACTAGTTATTTCGAATCGTTGACTTATTGTCTATGGATCGTTTTGCTGCTAGTCGCTCGAGACGGCTCTGAAGTGCCTGTGGTGTGTGCGATGTGGTTTACATTCATGTACTTCAACGTTTGAAAACATCATTGGTTGAAACCAATTTAAAAAAGTCGCTTTAAATTCGGTAAGCGTTTCAAATATTGAGCATCTCAGTTACGTCCTACATACCTTTCCATCTAAGACTCTAACAGGTATTCTGTCGTTTTATTATTGTGTTAATGTCGATATCCATGCTCTAAATACAGCTCTTTACCAAAAGCACACTATAAAAAACACCATTAAAACCCTGAATATTTTTGAAATTATACGAATTTAAATTAAATCAAATTAATTTAATCAAATAGGATTGTACATCCAATCTTTTTTTACCTTTAATGCTTTCGGTTCTTAAGCCTTAATCCTTTATCAACCTGTCAAAAAAAATAAACTTAAATAAAAATAATTATTTTTCTTTCATTCCAGGTATGTTTGAAAATTAATCAAGTCCTGCACTCATATATATAAGTAAGTTAATTTATTTAATATTGAAAAAAATCAACCCATGTTTCTCTACTTCCGCGCCAACTTTTAATCCAAAACAAAAAAAAAAAACTTGCCAAATAAACGCTTTATGAGACTGATTGCCGCTCACCCCTACTCATCAGCATTATGCTGAGGGTTTGGGGCACGGCGGATAATTTATTTTAAGCAAAAAAGTACATTTCATGTAAATTAACATTTTTCTACGTTGATAATTTTATTTTTTTATTATCTCTGCGCAACATAGGCAGAGAAATTTGAGGCGCAGTCGTCGCTTTAGTGCCAACCGCAGCCCGACGAGCGGCTATGAAATTCATTAAAGTACATTTTGTCGAGAATTTCTGACTTTGTGTCATTTAAGCACCAAATTTATCACCTTTTTTTCTGTGCCAAGGCGTTGATTTCATTATTTTGAGGTTGAGAAGAGGAAGCAACTGAACCGCACTGGAGCCGGGTCACTTTGCGGGTTTGCTTGGTCAGCGATTAAAGGCAAATCGTGGGGCCAGGGTCATTAGCGAAGGTTGCCTAAGTCGCCGACGCAATTTAGATTTTCTCTAATTTTATTTTTTGCCTTTGTCATTTTTGAGCGAGAGAAATTGAAAGTGTTTTTGCTTTAACTCCGATGTGAACCGCATACTTTAAGACATTCCTTCAAATAAACCTTTTTCTTGTATAAATCTTTAAGTATGCTTATAAGGCTAAGGCCCTTTCCAAATCTCAGATTTACAATTAAGAACGTAAGAATGATTTTCATTAGAAAATACCCTAAACATGTATTTCTGAGTAGTTTCGGAACTTGTTGTCCGATCTGCTTGGATCTGATGAGCTTTTGTGAATAAAAAAAATGTTTCGAAATCTGCTCTGCGTACCAGCTTATCGTCCTGACTAAGTAAATATATACTTTATGGAGTTAATTTCTCTCGATTCCAAACATTTGCCTGACTGCAATATACCATGCCCACTATCAAAGAGTAACGTGGAGGATAGTTCAATCCATAATATATAAATTAGGAAAACCTGTCACAATAATTTACCCCATAAATACTCACATATATAAAATGCAAAACGAATTAAACTGCCACCTCCCTCGGCGAACCACGCAGTTTATGGGACTTGTTCTTGCGCTTGGGATGTCCTTTAATTACGACAAAGCCAAAACCGTAACAAATCGCATTTAAATTTACCTGCTCCAGATGGTGGACCGAGGGGAGGAGAGCTAAGAGGCGAGAACAACACAACAACAACCACCAAAAAGGATGCGATAATTTATAGCGTTTCATTTGGCTCTTGGTGTTGCTCTGCTTCTGAATTCTAATTTAAATTTTCCACCGCGGCAACAATAAAATTCGGCAAAGGGGGCGCAAAATTCGAATAGAGGTGTAGTTGGGTTAGGGAGAACAGGAATAGTCTGCGTGCACACAATAAAAAATACTCGCTATTTACATACATACATATATATTTTTATTTATGCTGCTTAATTTGTAAAGCGTGCCGAACAACTACAGCGCTAACACGTAAGATTGATCTGGGCGAGAGTGGCCCACTCGTAGATACCCTGTACCGAACACCGAGCTGACGTAGCATGTACTCGGACTTCCTTTAATGCAATAGCTAGTATAACCCTGCAATGCCCGCCTACAGAAAAATTAATGATTCCCGACTATCTAAAATCTTAAAAATGGACTTAATGTCGAATTGATACTAAGAAAATGATACCCTTTTTCATTCATGAGATGAAATGTTCACAATCGGTGAAACACATATTTCTTAAGTTGTTATGTAGGGCTTTGTCAGTTAATTTAAATGATCGAACGAAACTTAAAATTTCGACGAAAATATCGTAGACCCCCTTTTCCACCCAGGAAGGATAAATTTAGCGAAGCGTGTGAAACACGTCTGAAATGGATTTTTATTAAGATTCGTGGAAATTAATCTCATTCAAAAGAATCACCCACTAAAACTTTGATCCCCACTTCAACCAAGGAGGAAGGATTTCGCGAAATATGTTAAACACCTCAAATAATTTCGCTCAAAGATCCTTGTAAAGCGATCAAAGGGAATGGGAGAAGTCTCAATTCTAATACTTTATGGCTAGATCGACCCTGCTCATCCTCCTAGGGGATTACAGATGCTTTCTCTTGTGTGTGACACCTTTTTTTTTAATTATCTTCACTATGTAGGCTATAAAAACAATAATAACAAAACTAAGGTTGCCTTTTAAAGCGACGCCTCGTTCCTTGTCCTGCGCCCTGCGTCCTGTTTAGCTTACATTCAAGCAGACATAGTTCATGGGGCTGTTGTTGTTGCTGCTGTTGTCACCAAGTGCAATTGCCCCTTACGGGAATTTTTCAAATGTTTTACACAGAAAATATTTGTTGTGCTTTTTGCTGCGTACAATTAGTTTGGCAGCTACAATGGAACACCAACAATGACAACTACAACAACAGCAACAACAACTGGCATAAAACAAGGAGAATGACAGTTTGAAAAGGACAACCAGGGCGGACAACGAGAGTGTGGTGCACGTCCCCTGGCAGCAAAGGTGACTTTTTAATGCCTGCTTTATTGTTGTTGTTGCTGTTTCAGCTGCAGCTGTTGTTGTTGTTGCTGCTGCTGCTGCTGCTGTTGTGATTGTTGCTGGTTTGTCACAGACAGAAGCTAAGTGAAGGGTTATTGGGCGTGTATGGCCCAACCCAGTCCAAGCTAAGCCACCATCCCCGTGCCAGGCAGGGCTGCAACTCGCAGTCCTTGTTTTGTCATGGCCTCATTTTGTTTTTGTTTTTTTTTGCATACTCTTTAATTGTTAAAATTATTGCATGCAACAACAAAAACAAAAAGGGATGAAAAATGATCTATAAATAGTAACTGTAAAAAGTTGTTGAATGCACTCAAAGGTGAAGTGCACCTCAAATGTGTCAGTAATAAAAAATAAAAGCAAACAAATGTGAGTGCTCTAGTCAAGAGTGTCCGACTGTGCGATACCCTGTACAGTTCCTCGAGCTAACGTAACATATTCCGCTTCTACATCCTTAATCACCACAGTATTCGAATGCATTCCTAAATAACTTCTTGTTCTCCAGTCCGATCTTGATGGCATATAAAAAGTGGAATTTGGATCTTGTGTAAGCTCTGCTTGAGGTCACTTACTAAATTTTGTATCTCCAACTCTCTTTCATCTCTCGGCTAAAAATATATTTTTTTAAATCCCTGCATTCGAAATTTCAGGTCCCTAGTTAATATAGTTTTTGAGCCGTGATACACACTCACTTTCTTGATTTGAGCTGTTTCCATGTGCCTGTTATATACATTCGCACATGACTAACATACCTTATTGGTTACACAAATTCAATGGGTATAAGGTTTTAAAATGATAATTGAGATTTTGTATATGGCCTAGTGATGCGATCAGGTTAGCAAATGCTTGAGATTGAAATAATATGCTAAAAGTCTAGAGACACAAAAGTACATTGCAGAACATTACTAAACTAGATACAGCACGTCATTTTCAACACTCTCGAGAACATTTACATAGCTGACATTTTGTTGTAATCTAACGATTATAAGAATAGCTACATGCTCGTGCTTTTGTGCTCCAACAATTGTAAAACTTATACAAAAAGCAACTTTTCTAATCAACACACATGCTGCAGGAATCTCCATGGATGGAGGGGAGGGAAGGGGCTTTAATACCATGTTAGTAAGTTTTTTAAAATTATGTCCTGCAGGTATTTGCCGAACGGGCAGAAGGTGCCGGCGACTAATGTCCAAGTTAACAAAGCAGCCGGCCCAGCCCGAAGGTAAAATGCTGCGAAGGCAAACAAAAGCCGGAAGCTCTAATGGAAATTTGAACAAGAGTGGCGGGCAGATAAGATGGGACGGGTTGAATTGAGTCGAGCTGAGCTGAGCTGAACTGAACTGTTTTGAATGAGGAGCGTGAAGCTGACAAATCAGGGGGTGGGCTTGAAGTGTTTCATGTGTGGGCGTGGCATGCAAATGAAAATGCATTTATTTATAAAGCAAACGACAAAAGTCCCAAGTGCCAGGCATTGCCATAAACGTGAGAAAACCAACTCCGTGTCGAGCAACAGGATGTGTCTGCCTCTCTGTATCTGTCTCTGAATGTATCTTTATCCGTATCGCTACATGGCAGCCATGGAGCGAAATGCAAAACTGCACTTGTCTGCTGTGTGCTGCCTAACTACCTATTGGCTGTGCACACTCGGATACCCATCCGCATGTCGCCTGCCCACGCCCGAACCACTTGGATCTGTTGGCAATTTTATTGACAAGCATTTGTGAGGGCGACGTTCCAGCTGGTGGGTATGGCATTCGCTAACCCTTTTTGCTCTGGAATGCCACCGGGGCTGAGGGGCAGCATGTTGGACCTGGTTCGCAGTAAGTTGCTTGCATTTTGTGACAATGTTTATTTAGATTTTGCTTTGCTGCCAATTGCTGACATTGCAATTTCTATTCCTGGCATATACAGTCCAATGTACACACACACACACACACACACACACGCATACACTCACACACCCCCTGCCATATACACATTTGTCCGGTGAAATGTGCTGCGTTTGCAATGCGCAGCGTTGCATTCTATTTATCTCAATCTGTATCTGAAACTGTATGTGCGTATGTATCTGTATCTATATCTGTATCTGTAGCTGTAGCTGTGCTGTAGCTGTAGCTGTATCTGTGCAGCTGCAATTGCATCTGCATCTGTTTCGTTAGCTCGTTTTGTTTTTGCGGTCATGTGCTGTACTTTTCGGCATTTTAATTTCAAATTGTCAATTGGATTTAAGTACACTCGACAGCAACACGACCAGATAATACTAATGTGGGTGTGTGTGTGTGTGTGTGTGTGTGTGCTCGGATTTCCCACAACATATATGGTTGCTGCTTCGTTGTTGTTCTTGTTTTCTCGTTTTTCTCAGCCAGTCTTTGGTACTGCGATTGTCTTCATCGCTCCCTTAACGCAAATTTTTGCCAAATTTCTGCCTATTATTATCATCACATTGCGCTTGGCTTTATTGCCGAACGTTTTCTGGCCATAAAATCTGATTTTAAAATGTGTCAAAAGTGCTTTAAATGTGACAGAATTTGATTATAGCCACTGTTGTCGTCAGCAACATCAGCAGCAGCAGCCCTGGGACATAGCCCGGCCAGGCAGCAATGGCATTTTGATTGCTAGGCGCCGCTGAGACACATGGAGAGCATTACAAGCATGTTGCAAGAGCTTACAGAGATTTGCCACGCCAATTGTTTAGGGACTGCCACTGGAAATTACTTCCAGACATTTGACAAATTAATGCAGAAACAGCAATTTAGGCCAGCACGGCAGCACAGCCAACCCTGTTCTAGCTTAATTGCTTCGATATGAAATTTTAATAAAACCTTTCATGCGGCTGCAACAATTTCAATTAACCTAATGTTATATTCCGCACTAATCAATCAATGGCAAAAAACATTTCGTCTATAATCTAAACAAAAATCCATAAATTGTTGACTGCGAATATTTCAAATTTGCATTGGCCAACGAATTGAAAATCAACACACGATGCACACACACACACTTTTCCTGTGCATATGAAAGCACAATTTCCACTCACACACACACACACACACACAGAGAAATGCATTCACACACATCCATTGTATATAAGAATGTAGGCATGATAAATAATGATAACAGCACACTTAAAGCAATTGATAGACAATTTTGAATTATGGCATCTGCGCCAGACTTTGAGCAACTTTTGAGGGTCCTGCGGCTGCACGGCTTGTCTGCGGCTCCTGTGGCGAGCATTCACAATTTACCATATTCCCCCATTCAGCATTTACACACATTGGGCATTCGATTTGGATGCACCTATTGCACATCCATTTGCCGCACTATCAGTCAGTTTGTCTGGTCGACCGACTGAACTGGCATTGGATCGATTTCTATTTCTATTTCTATTGACGACTTTATTGCAATTACTCGCACCAAATATTTTTCAGCTATTCATTTGCTGTCTGTGCCCTCTGTAATTGTTGTTACTTTGGATTTCGTAATTGTTGTTGGTCCGATAATCAGGCACTGGCATAAGCCAGAAATAATAACAGAGTGGAGAGCTCATGCAACTAACTCCACTGGCAATTGTTGTTCGCAGTATTTGCAATTAGTGTCAATTAGCTGGCGGCTTTTGACTGTATGTGTGTGTGTGTGTGTGTGTACTTGGTAAACATAGCAGCAACTACTAAAGGAATAAATGCATTTCTGGCTAATTGTAAAATATATATTCTGGTGCTTTCCGCAAATGCATGTCGATTGCCAAATGCATGATTCACTGAATTAACTTATGAAAGAGTTATTTACTGTAATTCAGGTTTTATAATAACTTTTGTAAGCTGCCAGCTCTCAACCCTCATGCACGACAATCCCCGAGCCCAACCCGAAAACGCACTCATTACAAATGCCAAGCGCATGCTTAACAGCTGACGCACTACAGGGGAATTATCTGAGGATTGGGTCTGGGGACGGGGACGGTGAGCACAAAAGTGAGTAGCAAAATCGCATTATAAAGGTTTTAAGGGGCGAACCCCTTGAAAATTGCGCAAAATATGCGAACTAGACTGGGATGTTGATGTGCGCTTACCCCCTCTTACCGGTACGGGCTGCCGCAGCCTGCCGATTAAATTTGAAAACTTGCCAAAAGGCAGAGAAGGACAACAACGAAGGATATTTTGCAAACAAATAATAAAAATCCAATTTTACATTTAATCACGCGCTCAGTCAAACAAAAGAAGAAAAAAAAATGAATAAAAGAGCAGAAATAAACTTTCCAGGCAACGCCTGCTGTCGCACAGAACACGCTGGCATCTCTTCGGGTCCAACCCCCGTACCAGCAGCCATCAAGTTGGAACGCGGCTCAAGGATCAAGACTCAAGGCTCAAGGTGACTCAAGTATTTTGCTTAATTTATTGCATTTTCTACGCTAAAATGCGCAAAAACTTTGAACAGCTCTCGTTGAAAATTAGGCTGCTTATTGTGGACCGCCCTCTTGCTTGCCACCCCTCCGCCCTCCGCCGTCCTCCACTCTTCCTTGCAAGAACCTTGCATACGGCACACTGAAAAAAATGTCATTATAAGTTTCAAAAGCGTGTTAAATGTGCCAGCCAAAAGGGGTTTAGACCTGCACCGTGTCTCAACCCCGGTCGCCGTGCTTTCACACAATAAATTTATTTTTTCATCATTGCAATTTTTAAGCGTAATTTTTCGTACATGTCGCACATAATTCATTCGCCCTTACAACCGAGTCCTGCATCCTGAGCATCGTTGCGACATATGGATTAAGTGCCGTGAAATGCTTCCATATCCACATCCCTACACTTGCCACCATTCCCAGGAACTCGTGTAGCACCATTGAAAAATTAACATTGAAATGCTTGTGTGCGCGCCTTTGATGCGAGTTTCCTGTGTTCTCATACAGCGATGCGTCTGGTGTCGATTATTTCCCCCGTGACACCCAATTTAGTAGAAGATTTTTGTGCTAGTTTCCTATTAGGCTGTAGCTTATAATTGCATAAATATCGAGATTCCAGAAGAAGAGGATTCCAGAAGTTACCTATATTTATTGGCATGCCAAAAATGGGGTATCTTCTATTCGTTTTCGATGACAGTCTTATTACTCGGCTTACCCTGTGCCAATGTATGCAGATGTAGCAGATGAGGGATCTTTGATCCTATATATGTATATATAAAAGTGTTTATCGTGACTGTTTGAATGACTGACTTAATGATTAAATATTGTTTACTTTCCTGTTGTTTACTTTTTAAATTCGACCCACAAGTGGAGGAAACGTAGATAGGGGTTTGTATGAAATACATGAAAGCAATTAGTGTCATGCGAAAGTCATGTCATATGCCTGTGCGGTTTACCTCGGTCCAAGCGTCGGACTTACAAGCGGGCAGTCATCGGCTCAAATTCATCAGCAACTATCAACTTTTCTATTCGTAAATTTAATTTGTTGCTATGCACAAGCACAAAAAGCAATAATTATAAGCTTAAAATGTTTCCCCCTTTTGATATCTATTCACAGAAAGTGCTTTTTGTTTATCCCATGATCGATAAAATCATTCAGGTTAATAAAACAGGGAGTCTGCTCGTCGGGCACCTTAGACCAAAGCTTCGATTTGTTTCTACTGGCTTGTTATTTACAAATGCTTGCTATTGAGGCAATCCATGGCATCCGCGGCTCTGAGCCATGTCTGACTGACTGGCTGGCTGTCTGCTATGCGGCGCCCAGACTGATTTTGACAGACAGAATCAAAAATCATGACGCATATGATAATGACAATGATTGCACTACTGCCAACGACGGAGCGATGAGCATGTTAATGTCTGCTTCCCCTTCGATCAGCTGTGGGTGCTCCAAGTTGCTGATGCTGATGACAACTGCCTTGGTGGGGCAGTCAGCCAAGCGAGAAACGGAGAGAAACATGTGTGACGACGGCAATGGCCGGACGGAGTTGGGGCAGCAGCAGAGGGAGGCCAAACGAGACATGGTTGTTTCTTTACACTGTCCCCGCCTACTAGCTGTTGTTGTTGCTATTATTTTCGTTGGTGCAGCTGCGTCTGTGCGTCTATTTGGCCCTGTGTCTCAGTGACAGTTGTACAAGAAATACAAATTTGCAAAATAAGCAGAGGGCGGCGAGCATTGTTGGATAAATGGCGACATGCTCAGGGAAGTGTCAACTGATTGCGCTGAGCTAGGCAGGCGTAAAAAAGCATGAATGGGCGGGGGGGCTTACAAAAAGCCCGGAACCCTGCGAACCTGCACGTGACGTATACGCCACGTTGTGCGTGTGACGCGACAAATGACGAACAACTTGGCGAGTCTATGGCAGCTCCGGTTTTAGTCCTGACAATAAAACACAATAAAAAGAAATTATGAATAAATAATGCGCAAAGTAGTAATGGCATTGCCAATGCCAGCAGGAGCATAAAAAGCGTTACAAAAACGCGTCATCTGTTTATGATTTATATATATTTTTTAATATGTGACGGCCAGGACAGAGAGACAGACAGACAGGCAAAGGCTCTGCTTTTGGGCCATTTGCATTTGAGTTTGTAATTTTCCTGTGCCGAAATCAACACAAAACAAAATCAGTGACCATTAGACGGCCATTTGTTTGCCAGCTAGTCAGACTTGGCTCCACGTTTCTTGCTCACTTGTTTTTTTGTGCTATGATACCCTTGCATACCGTCTGCATAATGTTTTCGCGAAATTTGTAACGCATAGAGGAAGATTTCTTTGAGCCCATAGCCCATAGTTCGTCCGATCGTCTTTCTGTTTCTGTGCTAACTTTTTTCGTCATATTCTTGGGCTATCGCTTATTTTGTATAATTCAGTCGAAGTCGTAAATTAAATCTCATACAAATCTTTTCAACATGTCTTTATTATAATGAGACGACGGTCATGGGAATGATTGGTGGAAATAGGTTTTTGGATGAATAGCTTCATGGTTCCTTAAAATCTATTTACGTAACAGAGCTCATATTGGAACAATCGGAAATTGACTTTATAGGTGCAAACATATCCGAGAATTGAAAGAAATATTTTGTTGTATGTCTGCAAGGGTATTTCATTATTGGAGTGCCACAGTTGGATGTTCATTCTTCTGTTTTTTATCTTTATTTTTGGGGTAAATTTAATTAATTTTCACGCCATTTCCGCTCGCTATGCAACGTTCAATTGGGAATGGCGTGCAACGCGGCCCTCCTTTGCGCTTTGCACCTTGAAAAAGATTCGCGCAGACACAAATTTCTCATTAGCAGATGCTGTGAAAAGAAAGCACACAAAATTTGGTCCTAATGAAATGTTTGCTCGACACTTGTGACAATCGCGCATTCGTTTGGACATTGGAGAAGCTGTCCCAGCAGCCAGCCCGGAAGCTCTGCAAAATGAATCGCATTCAGCTGGCAACTCCACTTCCGGTCGAAGCTAGCCCTTGATTAGTGTTAATTAGATTTGACCTGCTGCAGACTCAAATCCACTTTTTGAGTTTCTACACGAAAAAAAAAAAAATTAAACTTGCCAAAGACCAAAGGAAACTTTTGCTGAGTTACACAAACTTACTCAAAGCCAACCTTTATTACTCCACTCGTTACATTTTCTACAGCTTATCAGCTACCATTCATTACGGAATTCATCCAATGCATATATGACGTGATTCTCGTATATCCAAGCGGCGTATTCGACTTGCAGCCGTATTGATTGCCAAATGAGGCGATGGCAATTAGAGTGGCATTTACCTGTAGTTCCATGGGACTGCCCGAGTCTAGGTGACAGCTCGTCTCCCTGTTGGGCAGCCGGCCGCACAGCATCTTCGAGCGAAACCTGTTTCCGTAGCCAAGCTCAATGCAATCCTTATTCCTTAACACCTCTATCTGCAGCACATGCAGGAAGTTTTTGGTCTCGTTGCTGCCTCTGTGCTGTCCCCAGCCAGCAGAAAATGCCCAAGCGTTTTTGAACATTGAAGAAGAGTGGGGCAGAGGAACAGCTAGTACCCCGTTCGTGTACTCAACATACGGCGTTTTAATCAGAGCTATATCATTCCTGTAAGACTTATCAAAGTCAGGATGTGCATAAAAACAGTTGCTTGAAACGCGCATCTGGAAGTGTGGCTCCTCACGGTTAGCTGCACTGTAGCTTATTTTCACTAATCTTGCCGCATTGGTGCAAGATGCAACTGTTACAATCCACCGATTTGCTATGATTGATCCTGCACAGAACCATACAGAATGGATGCCAACAAAATCCAAAGCCACAATGTAGGACACCTCGCCCGGCCTTGCCTTGTAACCGCTGTCGTATTGCACTGTGGCTTCAGGCACAGAAGGAATAGTGCGCACAAGCCTCGGCTCCAGGACCTGAGCAGCATATTGCCCAGGCAAAAAGAACAGCAGCAAGGCCTTGAGAACAGCCTTCATATTATTCTGAGCTTACCAATGTGAACAGCAACTAAACAGAATTACTATTGAATGGGCTTTTATACCACGAATGACCACCAAACACATGCGAATGATTAGAAAAGCTTACGCAAATGTTTACTTCCTTAGCCGTAGTCTAAATACACTTTCAGGCCTAGGCTGACTATTTATTTTATGTTAGCCAGTCCTTATAGAGTATCTGATCTTCATCTGATTTTTAGTTTGGCTATTTGTCACCAACAAAATGAATGAAGGTTAAAAAACACTAAAAAAAAAGAGTCACTATTTTAAAAATAATACATTTAAGTTTAAAAGAAATTCTACAAAATTACAATTTTGGGAATAACTATATTTCTATCGCAACATTTCTTCAAGATAATTGTTTAAGTTTTAAAAAAATTAAATATTATTAACTTTATTTTACTTTATTACTATCGGTAACAAAATTCGATAGAAAATTATTCTGCCATCTGGAAGGGTAGGGTATAAGAATGAAAATATAAATTTAAGAGTAAGTTATACAGCCGGTTTTTAATCTACATATGGTTTGAACTATTTTCAACAGATGCTTATTTCGTTCTTTTCGAGCTGCTTTTTTAAAGAAACCCCTAATATTTCTTTGCTTGGCATGATTGTATGGTGGGTATCAGCAGCCTCGTCCATTTGACAGAATGAGCGAAGAGGTATCATTCTAGTGGAGCCTGTGGCTTTAACTGTTTGAGCCTGACGTCAGGAGCAATGCCCAAGTTCCTAATGAGTGGATATGTTAACTATGTCTTGTGGTCTGTCAGGTTGAGCCTGTTATCTGTCAATCAGTCGATGACTGAGTTGCCAGCTGAGCTGCATTTTAAAGTGACTTCATCAAACCTGTTCGTCAACGTTGAAAATAGCATTCCGAAGTCTATGCATTAATATTAATGCAAGTGCATCTTATGCCCCTCTCCAGGCTCACTTGTGCATGCATGTGCTCTCTCGCTTTTTTGGCGGAAAAGGAAAAAGAAACAATTTGTGCAGCTGTTGCCTGAAGCGCGTTAAACGGAAATTATGAGTTGCAAATTAAATTTGGCTGCATTTTACACCACATTCGCTGGCTGTGCTTTTATGGTTTATGAAGTGTTGCAAAAATATCTGCAGATATGCGCCAAAATAAAACAAACAGACCCAGAATAAAAAACAAAAAAAAAGGGGGGGGGAGCGCCAAGACAAGGACTTGGAGCCGTCCTACGTGGTAGCTGCTGAATCAGCAAGCGATGGCAACGTACAGCAAACGGATGTAGAGGCAGCCAAAAGTGCCACTATTTGGGTTTTGGTGGCACGGATTGAAATTTGCCGGGATGGGTGGCGGCAACGTGAGGGGCTGGCTGACTGCGTCCTGGCCACTTGTAACAACATGCAAAAGGATTTTCGTCGATTTTCGAATGCTTCCCCTTGGCCACATGTGCTCGCTTTTCTTCTGCTTGTATAAAAATTGCCACAGCTCTTTCTTCGCTCCTGGCTCTTTATTTTCCTTTGGACAGCCATTTGGCGCTTCTGCTGTTCTGTATCCTTTGTAGCTGTTGTGCTTGTCGCTTGCTGCTGCTGTTGCTGCTGTGTAGTGTTCAGTGCCATTTATTGTTTTGGCGTCAGTTGTTTCGTTTGTTGTCACTTTTTTCCAGTTTTTCCTTTTCCCGTGCCCTCGTAAAATTGCGCATACTCAGCATTTTTAACAGTTTATTTGGCCACGGAAAGAAACTATTCAGTACCAATTGCTGCCAACTGCTGCGAATGCCATTCGACTGGGCCAGTTGGTTGGCGACTAGCAGAGGGGAGTATATTTGGCATTCGGCTAAGTGCTGAAGTCTGCGACGGATCTGTTGATGACACTCTAACATCGACGATCCTTATGACATTTTGTTCTACACCCTTATGCCTTTTTCTTTAAGCTGCAATTTAAGTCCCTACATTTCGCTCTCTTTTGCTTTTATTCTTTTTTACACAATCATCTGATGCAATCCAGCATAAATCTCAACAATCCCTGTCATAAATTAACCAACTGACAAATCAAATTCCTATCAATGTATGCACACAACTTTTCAAGGGCTAAAACAACAAACCCAAAGCACAAAGCCTGCAACAATAAATCCGCACGAAATCCTTTAACAATTACATGTATCTAAGTGTACATGTATGTGTGTGTAGTCAGGGAGACAGGGCGATAGACAGCCAAATAAAACAAAGCAGCAACCAAACAGAGACCAGAGTTGCCATAAAAAAGCCAATGGGCAAAAGAGTCACAAGAGCCAAACTGCAAGCGCAGCAAAGCAAAGAATCGCACAATTAACAAAAAGACGACCAGAGGATGAGATACAGGCGAAGTAAGGCCGCTGGCTGCCTGATCCCCTTTTTTTATGGAATGTGTGCTTTATTTTATGTGAAATTGGTATGCAGCTTATGCCGTTGCTGGGGTAGCAGCCAGCACATTTGGATGACCCATAAACAGTCAAACAGCACTTTACTATAAACAAATAAGCACAACTTGCAAATACCCTGTAGCCGGAACGGATATGCAGTCCTCGGTAGAGGAACCTTCTTAGTTACTCTGTTATTCCCCATTCTAGTGTATGTGTGTAGTATTTGTTTGGACAAAGGCCTGTTGCGTTGATTTTAACTATTTTCTTTACTATATATATATTTATAATAATAATAATAATAAAGTATTGTTATAATACCTAATTGTAGGGTATATAAATTTGAAACTGAACTATGTCCGGCAGAGTTAAACACTCCAAATTGGCTTCACACTCCACTCGGCTGCCAATTTTGCACATTTGCAGCATAATTTCTGCTGCATTTGGCTTTTGTGTGTGCATGTTTGCAGCATGTATGGACATATGTACATATCTCTGACTGCATTGCCTACTTATGCAATCTTTTCCAGCTTGGTTTTTTTTGTGGGACTTGGCCAAATATTTTATATGCGCTGCAGTGACCGTTGGGAAAGAGGCAGAGAGAGTCAATGCCGCCCCCTTGGCAAGTTTTATTGCCTTTGCAGATGATGGGCAGCAGCTGGCGGGCGGTGGCCGACGAATAGACCTTCAAGCCGCTGTTGGCTTGTCCGTTTTATTTGGGCCAGGCGCGTGCTGCTCCGGCGGCTGCTGGCGATGTTGATTGCACGTCGGCATCTTCACTAGCATCTTTGAATGTGCTTCGAGTGAGGATTGGTGTGAGAGCGAGCGTGTGTTTAGCCATCGTGAACATGATGCCATTAACTGGGCCCAGTTTCTGGATGTGGCGCTTCTGCTATTGCAGCCAGCAGAAAATTGATGAATGCTTTGGGCGACTATTGCAATATTTCTTCATTTATTTTGGCACGTGCACGTTGCGATTTCTTTAGTGGACAGTTGAGAGTGAGCTTGATCTTTATCTTTCAACTATATCTGTATGCATCTATGCATGCACATATACGGTTTCATATGTGACGTATCTAATTATATAGCCTGCTTGCTTATGATCAAACGTCCGAATTTGTATTCAAAATGCTGTCGGTATTCGCAATTTCGTTTCCATTTCTAGTGAAATATCTCACCTGAAAATTGGGCAGCCAACTGAAACTTGACTGCTTCATAGCCAAGTCGTACTGCGCAACAGTAATCGCATTCGCATCCCACTCATTCCCAGCGGCAGCAGCTCGTTTTCACTCTTGCCATCTAAAAAAGGGTTGGCTCTAATTGTGTCACCACTAGCGCCAATATGTTGGTCCTGTCACAAAACCAAACGGGCAACTACTGACCGTTTGACAAAGGCATCCAGCAGCAACAGCAGCAGCAGCAGCAGCAACAGCAGCAGCCATGTCATGTTCGGTAATCCAAAACGTTGGCAGCTGTTGACCCAATCGCGTAACCAATTTTGGCGGGCGCCTGCAATGTCACAGTGTCCTGCGGCCACTTCGGTGTTGGATGCTGCACCTCATCATTACCCAGTCGTTATCGCTTTTTTGCATTTAAATGATGGCATGACTGCGTGTGCTCGTCTGCTCCTATGTGTGTGCGTGTGTGTGTGTGCGTTAGCGAATGCGCAACTGATTTGAAATTTGCCTCCAACACGTACGCCGTCAATTTTGCCAAAGTTTCCGTTGCCCCACGTTAGCGCTCACTCGAAATGCTCTGGGGGCTTCAATCACACATACGACGCGTGTGCCGCGGTCACATGCATAATTTTCAACTCTTCCACGCACAGCTGCCATGCAAATGGCAACCAAAATTCGGGAAAATGTAGGCAAAATGTTTTCGGTTTGTTTTGAAAAAAAAGGCATTTCTCGTTGCGTTCTCCTGTTTATGGCTGCATATAAAGAACATCTTTTGGCGTCTTTCAATAAGCATCGACTCTGCATACATTATTTTCAATTCGTGGACCTCATCGAGGCTTAAAGCACAGTGTTGTGCAACAATGTATATGCCCCTATATAATGCCGTTTTCGAAGTATGCATATTGGATACCATTTTAGAGCCGTCGAATATTGAACAGAATTTCAATACTGTGCAAAAAGGTGCATGGCTTCTGCCTAAAATGCATCGTGCAAAGTGCTTGTCAAAGCAACCATAGTTGACCTTAAAAACCACTTCGATTCCGCTTCTAATTACTTTGGCCCAACCACGAAAATAGTTTAAAATATGCTCGCAAAGCCAACGCGCTCGATGATAACCCGCTGATGTCATATAAATAACAGATTTAGTGGTCCCGGCCTGGCCTGTTGGCCATTTTGGTTTGTTTTGGACCTTTCAGGCGGTGCAAACAGCAGCGTCAGATAACGGCAGCTTTGTCCTAAACCGGGCAACCGGCCGAAACAGCCAGCCGGGCTAGCAAAAGCTCAGCCGGACCGTTTTTAGGTGTCCGAGCCATGGTGGCCCTGGCGAGCACTGCAATTGTTTGGCGACTGCGGCGACGACAGCGGCAATGGCGGCTTTTAATGGCCGGGCAGGCGCTGGAGGAGTTGGACAGAGGCAAACAATAGCCTCGACTTC